GGAGGTTGAGAAGATCAACAAGGCCTTCGAGACCAAAGAAGATTATTAGCTGAATTGAACTACGGTTCCAAGCCCTGCACACAGCCCTTGTCACATTCCGTCCCATGTTGGATCCCGGACCCACATTTTGATATCAGCCTTGTTATTGACAAGGCTGTAGCTCGAAACAAGCGCCATGCTGTTGCAGATCTCAGCAAAACCACGATTCCGAGGGAGCGCAAACAGCAGCCTCAAAGGCTGTGCATAGTGCCATGCAGGTGGTCATGTGGTTTACATGATGCAAAAAACTGGCATCGCACAATTTATAGCCAAGGGCATGTCTGTGCATTTGTTGCGGCGAACACGGTGGCCAGTGGTCTTGTTGTCGGGTTCAAGCCAATTCATCCCGATTTCCGTATATCTGGACATGCGGTGCGACATGCCCGCCTGGGAGGCAAGCGTTGACGAAGTGATAGCAATTTGCTGATCAGATATTCTCCGATCGGGGTCCTGGTCAACTGGGTGTGATGTGACGGAACAGGCGCTGAGGCGACAGGGATTTGTGATTACATCCAAATCTCACCTTGAAATCCAGTATGTAAGACATTCATGCGGATGCCAAGAAGGATTTTACAAACATTGACATCTTGTCCGGCTGGTGAGCTGGCGTCTGGTACAAAACTATGTCGTCAGCCATGAGCACGATTGTGTCGAAGTTGGCATCGCATTCTCCGTGCATTCATATGCTCAATCTCCAGTGATAAATATCGACAAAAAGCGTAAGCCCGTATAGCTCAGTGGTAGAGCGCTTCACTCGTACTAACCATCTGCGTAATGAAGAGGTCCGCGGTTCAATCCCGCGTGGGGGCACACTTTTTTCCTGTTTCATTCTCCTTTTTTGCCCTTGACATCAGCTTCCTCCCTCTTCTTTCTCGTCCTACTCTCCGTCCGCTTTCTACACCATCTAAACTTCAACATTTTCCAACATCCTCCTGATCCGACCACGGACCAACCCAGATCATCAACCCAAGCGACATGCATGCACCATCCACCTGCTCCTTCCACTTCGAAGTCTGCAGCTACGAAGTGGCAGATTGCACCCAGAAATCCACATTATCATACTCGAACGACACGCACTTATCAGAAGACCAGAAATACATGGTCGCCCCATCAACGCCCTTTGTAGTTCCATTTTCTGTTGTTGCGGAACAGTCCTCGAACCAGACGTCGGTAAACCTCGTATAAGGAACCCTACCATAGCCACCCAATGAAGGGGCTTCGACGATCCACTCGGCGTCGACTTGGCCGAGGGGAGTCCCGTTGACGAGGGATATGTTGTACGAGGTTGACTGGTCGAGGTTGGATATGATGCTGAGAATTGTTTGGTTAGCGCTGGACTGGAGCTCGGAGGAAGTGAGAGACGGTAATGAGGCTGAGAGAGTTCGGAACCCACATCGTTCCTGATGTTGCTGAGGTCGCAGAGATGGTTAATTCTATCCAGTCACCAGTTTTTACTACGGAAATTGTCAGTTTTCAGTGGAACTATGAGATTGAAGTTGAATCCAGAGGATGAAGTGATTTGATAGTCCGAAAGACTTGATCTACTTACCAGGGAATGACGGAATATTGTAAGCCGCGTCAGGAACCCATTCCAGCCAAGCCCAATGACTTTGGACCCCGTCTGTCCCGAGCTAGATTTGAAAGAGTCGCAAACCATCGGTTAATCTTCAGTCTTCATTCCTAGAACTTCCTGTTTGCGAATCAAGTAAAACAGAGGACGAACATACCTGGCTCGCAACCCCTGCCTCCAACAACGCCCCTCCATAAGTCGCTCCATCAATGCCCACCCATGCCGCAACATCGTCAACAGGAAGGGAGCTTACACTGCCCGGCTGTCTCCCGAGCACCGTAGGGACTTGGAAATAGGCATGCACGCTGGTAATTTTGTTCGCCGAGTTACCGGACTGGACGGCCCCGCACCAGTTGTCGCTGTAATAGATCGGGTTGGCTGGGCTCTGACGTCTTGCTTTTTGGTTCTGAGGTTGAGTTGGTGCCTCTGTTTTCGATTCAGCAGTTGAGCCTCGGTTGAGGCGATGAAGACTTGGATCTTTCCGCTCGAAGACGATGTCGGACGGTGGGATGGGTTTGCCGTGAGATGTTCCAGTGACGCTGTAGGTGAGCTCGCCAAAAGCTCGGCGGAAGGCAATGGCAAGGAGAAGGAGGGCTTGGAGGGACTTCATAATACAGGACTATAGACCAATGATGTTGGTTGGCGGTTAGTATGGGTTTAATGCTGATGATCTCTTTGCCAGGACTCAAAGCCGTTGATTATCAACTTCGGGAAGGGGTTCAAGAAGGGCTTGGCTCAGCTATCTTATAGCCATCAAGATATCCAGGTCGTGGGGGCCAGAACTCGGAAAGGCCATGTTGAGGCCTTGAGACTACCCACAGAGTAGTATCAAGAACATGCGGTTGGTGACATGAACTGTGCCGTCAAGCTGCCGAATATCGAGCTCGTATGGTAACATCGAGTTGGTCCTGTAGATTAAGCTTAACCCTTGCAACGGGTTCTTATTGGCCACTCCAGGTCCTGTCTCACAGCTCGTCATATGTAGTCCAATCCGAAAAGACGCGGAGCAAATGGTAGGCTGACATGGACCAAGTGTTCAAGTGACCACGGCTCGGCTCGTGCTTCACACACACTATGACCTTTAGTCTACAGGCCTACTAATGTCTTCACAATACCTCAAACCATACATATCAGTCACCTTTGTGACCACACATTCATTGCCTGCTGATATACGTTGCAACCAAATTGCATTACCAGTGAACGCCTTTCCTCAAGCCTCCGGGGCTTCTTCTCCCTATGTTAATACTACAAAACTCCGACAACGCCAGTGCATGCCACGCCCTCAGCTAGCTCGTACATCTGTAAACTATCACACCCAGAAAAAATGATCAACCGTCCCCCAAAATCGCCCCCAAATCCTTCATTCTGACCGGCTTTGTTAAAAATAAATCCACCCCGCTCGCTAGCGCATCCTTCTGTATCGTCCCGCTCGTGACTCCTGTGAGCGCTACGACTGTTGCGGGCTCCAGGCCCTTGACAGGTTCCCCTTCGGTGCTGTTATCATCTGTTTCGGTCACACCGTCATCCATGTAATCGCCGTTGACTTCCGCCCCCTTCGGTTCCCGCGCCTGCGCCGCTTCCTGATCTGTACCTGCACCCACACCTTCACTCCGGTCTTCATCTTCGACAGCCGCTGGCGCAGGTGTTGGCTCAAGCCCAGCTCCATCGAGAGATGCCCGTCCAACCTTCCTCTGTATGACTCTCTTCCCATCTACAGCTCCAGATCTAACTCCGACACCGACTTCGACACCCGCCGGCACTCCAACACCACCACCCATACCTGTACCCAAACTCCCAGCTCTGGCCCTTGCCTCATCCGCCTTGTTCGCTGCACTCCCCCTTTTAGTCAGACTTCTTCCCAAACTCCTACTCCTTTGCACAGGGTACTCCCTCTCAAACTCCCTAATCCTCCTCGTCGCCTCCAACCCATCCATTACCGGCATGCTGATATCCATCAACACCCACTTATATCGCCCCGGACTCTCCTTGTAGATCTCCACTGCCTCCAGCCCGTTGCGGGCAGTAGCAAAGGGACGATGTGTCTTGCGCATCGCTGAGGCGAGGATGTGAAGGTTGATGGGGTTGTCGTCTACTAGGAGGCAGGCCTTTTCTTCCTGGTTTGTTGAGAAACCGGCAGAGGAGTTGCGGGGTTGAGAGGGAGAGTTTGGCAGGGATTGGGAGGGGCGCGAAGGTTGGTGAGGGTTAGAAGGGGAGGAAGGTTGGGATGGGGAGGAGGTTGTGACAATAGGGAAGGTAGGTGACTTGGAGAGGTGACGTGTTTCGAGATGAAGCTCAGCGGGTTGCCCCTCAGTTAGCAAAGGGGAGGTCACCAGGATTGATTGCTGGCGCTGGGCTTCGAACGGTTCGAGCAGGTCGGGCGGTTTCGGCGCCGGTGACACATCCGGGACGGCCGCGGTGCCTGTCATCGTGTTGTTTGTGGCGGCGGCAGCAGCAGCCCCAGCGAGGTCCCCACTTGTAGGGCCAGCATTGCCGATGGTGCTGGTGTTGGCATCACTGGTACTGAAAGGAAGGATCGAGGTGATGGTATGCGACGTAGGCGACACCTGTTCATCCTCAGGGGAAGCAAAGGACTCGGTTAAGACCGGTGGTGAGATGATCGAGTCGAACGGCGACGGCGACGACACCTCGGAGACGGAGACGGTAGTGAAGCCGAGGTTCATGTTGTTCGCTTTCTCTTTCCCAGTACGGGACCGTGGTGGCAGCGGGGGCCTGGTGACTGGCATCTTGATGTTCTCTTGCTGTGATAACACGGAAGTCTCTTGCTTCGTGTTCTGCAGCAGCGTCGGTCCGGGGGTAACCGCTTCCTCCCTCTCCCTCCCTCCCAGCTTCCCATCCTTCCCCACGGACGTCTGCTGAACCAAAGGCGTTCCAACCGTCCTGTTGATTCTCCGCAGCAAAGGCCTTGTCGCAGCAGCCGCCGTCGCCTTGCTCGTCGAAAACAAGTTATCCCGGAAATCATCCGCCAGATAAGGCAGGAACCTCGACTTCTTGTTGACGATCTGGAAAACCTCTGGGTCGGACATCTTCCTCTGTAGAACATCCAGATCGATGCTAGACTCGGACGAGGTTCGTGACTGTAGTTCGTTCTCTGCTTGTCCTCCCATCTCACTAACTCTTCCCTTCAGCGGGACGTGGTGACTCTGAAGACACTTTCTCAGTGTCTTGGCCAGCTTCCTTGGCCCAACCCTGTTGCCACGTCTGTTAGTATCTGATCATAATCATAGAAGCAGGGAAAGAAGACTCACGGCTGCCCAATAAACTCCATCACGCTCGCCTCCCCTTTCCCTCCAGCAGCAGCCTCCCCCCTAGCCAGTGACAAATTCTGCGCAACAACTTCATTCCCGCACACCACCACCAACGGGCCGGCCAGCATTCTCGACACGGACCTCCTCCCACCAGTCTTGTCACCAGCGCCATCATCCGTGCACATACCCAACACAAACCGATCGCTACAAATTGTCATCTGCGCCTCCGCCGGGTTCGTCACCACCCGACATCCAAGCCAATCCCTACACATCCTCTCCATGATCCTCCCCCTCAGTACTTCCCTCCCCTTTGCATCGACCGGCCTACCCCAGCCATTGTCATCGGGTTCCCCGTCTGCCAACCCGTCGAAACCAAGCAAGCAAACCCTTAGCCCCCTCAGCGCCTCCCTATGCTCCGCTATATCACTACCCTCACTCCTTGGTTCCGGACTCGAATGCTGAAGCGGTAAGATCACTCTAACCGCCGTGCCTTCGCCAGGTCGGGAGTCAACGATAACGCGCCCACCGAGGGCGTCGACGATCTGTTTCACGATAGAAAGGCCGAGGCCGGGGCCAGGGGTGAGACTGTCTTCTTTTTGGAAGGGAGAAAAAGCCTTTTCGCGGAGAAAGCGTGGAGTGATTCCCTTGCCCGTGTCCGAGACGGTGAATATTACGTTTGAGCGTTTTCCTTCATTCAAGTGCTTGCTGTCCGTTTCGATGCCTGTGTCTTCTGCTTCGTCTTCGAGGTCTGTGGAGGCGAAGGAAGGGCGAGATTCGGAGGGGATAGGCTGAGCGGTTAGGGTGAGGTTGATGAATCCTTTACGAGTGAACTTCAGGGCGTTGCCGAATAAGTTCATGATGATGCGGCGCAACGCACCGGGTTGGGCGTAGTAAGACCAGTTGACGGTAGGGTCGATATCCAGATGGATAGCGACGTTGTCATCACCTGGATCGGCACCACGTTGGTTGCACCA